TTTTCATCAAGATTTTGATTTGATTCTCTCTCCCGTAGTTGTCGTTGTCGTTGTTGTTGTAGTTGTTGTTGTCGTTGTTTTTCTTGTAGAGCTCTTCTCTGTAATCTTACCGCATTTCTTTTCCTAAGCTCTAATTCTCGCTCTTTATTTTCATCAAGAATTCGTTCTAATTCTCTCTCCCTTTTTTTCCATTCTAATATTCGCTGAGCATGTAACTGTTTTTCTCTAGTAGAATCCATGACCCCAATAGGAGCTGGCTCTGACTGTAGAATGAGCTGAAAGTAGGAGAAAACCTGTATTTATACAGTGGATGACGTCACAATGCATAGGTAAGCATATTTTTTGCACACGGTCCTTACAGATGATGCAACAGGTATAAAAAAGATGATGCAATAAGTATTAAAAAGATGATGCAACAGGTATCAAAAAGATGATGCAATAGATCTAAAAAAGATGATGCAATAGATATATAAAGATGATGCAATAGATCTAAAAGATGATGCAACATATGTACTGAATTGACCCACTTATCCCTCCAGGGGCTGCACTCTCTTGACCCACCTATCTCCTCCAGGGGCTGCACTCCCTTGACCCACCTATCCCTCACAGGGGCTGCACTCAGTTGACCCGCCTATCCCCTCAGCCCCAAAAGTGCACTCAGTTGAACCCCCCCGGCCAGACCCCTTATACTACTTACATAGTTTAACAAATTAAATACATCCTTGAAATGTATACAGTTTCTGAAAACAGGGCCGTTGTTGTTAATGTGTACGTTTCACCGGGTGTATTCAATTGTTAAACTCTTCACACACCACTGAGCACGGACTGACAAATCTGATGTGTTGGTCTTGTTTTTACACAATTCTTCTCTGAGTTTTCTGCATGGATTATAGTTTTAATAATTTTCATTAATACACAAGAAAATTGCTACTTTTTTAAGTATTAAAAGGATAAAGTTTAAAATTGTGAAGGCTCAAGCATGTGTCAATCAAGTGCGTCTAAAAAGTTTCAATAACTTCCAGAAAAAATAAGATTTTAAATACATTTTCGTATGAAATTCTACAGAAGCATGTAAGTTATGAATTATACAGAAAATTTGAGAAAATATAACAAAAAATCCTTTTAACCTTTGTAATTCCGTGCATTATAGCTACATGTACTGGAACTATGTAATAAACTCTAAAGACTTAAACAGTCTTTATGTAATAAGGTCACATTAATAAAATTTATCAAAATATTAAATGTATTTGGTTATCTGATATAATGTGATTTAAATATTTACCTGGCCACGTGGTTGCGTTCTGAGTTGTGTGTAGTGTTTTGTCCAGTTTGGTAGTGTTATGTGATGCATTATTATGCTAATTGAGGCCTTGTCAAGTCCTGCTATTGCTTAGGTCATTGTTGTACAGCTTCACAAGTCAGTCAGGTGGTAGATTTATATCAAGTAGTTCATACTAACTACCCAGACCTTGTATTTTGATTTTTGTGGTTATATTTTAACAATAAAATCGGTTTGAAAATACTTGAGAGATGGTTGGAACTCTCGTTAAGTTACGATAGATTTTGCACTTGGGACTTTCTTAAGAATTTTTGTGAAAACGACTTTTATCGTAAGTTTTCACTTAAGATAAGAATATGTCGTAAGATGCTACAGATTATTGTTCTACTCCCCCGTTTCCCATTTGATAATTCCGAATCAGTACATTTATAAGCTTTCAGATACATTGTCTTGAGGCTCAATCAATCAAGATAAATAAACAACTGAACCCTCATGGTGTTTTTATTCTTAGTAGACCTTTTACATAAAAAAAACCCATTTATTTCATTTATATTATTTATTTCTTCCATAAAAAAAGTTAATTCATAAACAGAAAGACGTGTAACTCTGAGATAATTTGGAGATCTGTCACGAACGATAACTCAATAATAAATGCTTTCGTCATCCAATTTACATGTAAAAGCTGGATATCATCTACATTATTCTACAGTATAAACATCATTATGACACTGATTAATTCCTTAACACTCGGGAAGTGCTAATCACAAAATCATCACATTTGTTTGAAAATGCAAAAGAAATCTGGGTAAAAATATGATTGAAAAGGGCCTAAATTATCTCATCTCCAGGTACATGTACAAACGTGAGAAAAATTGTATCGCTTCTGACACAAAACAGAATAAATAAGACATATATCTGGAAAAAATAAAGGGGTGGATTCCAGTTTACTCCTGGTGTTTCACATATAAATAAAATATTATATCACAGGGTTAGACTACAAGCTTTAACAACAGCACGTTATAGGACTATTCTGTACTAATCTGTTGTGGCGAGTATTTCTATGACATTGTGCCTAAACTAAATAACAAAAAAGACTGACTTTCCCATAGAAGAAAAAAATAAAAAGAATATATTTTTTGCCACATCTTAATAACTTAATATGTTTCTATTCCGATAAAAACTTAAAAATCGTTGTTTTCCATTCTGAAAAATATAAATTTAGCAATCATCCATCATATATATTTGTTCAAGTTTATTATTAAATAACAATCAACACAAATGACAAAGTACAAAAATATAGCGATAAGCATGAAATCCACATAAAAATCTCATATTTCTCTTTGTTATGGTAAGTGAGATTCATTCCATATTATATTGACAATCTTGTTAAATTCTAACAATGCTGTTTAAACGAATTGCGTTTCCTTCATGTGCCTTTTTAAAGTCTTGTGTCTTTAGTTTAGGATAAAAACAACTGAATTAAACGGCACCCTTTCAATCCTCACCACAGCACATTGTGCACGCACAGCAAGAGCAGCACGTGCACAATCCGCAGCAGCCCTTGGGTTTCTTCTTCTCTTTGGGCGGGACCTGATTGGTCGTGAAGGTGAGAAACACTTGTTCTAGTGTGGTCTGGTGGACGGAGTAATCCTCCAGTCCCAGCCTCGACTTCGCCTCCTCCATGGCGCCGAACACCGTGGACAGCGACACGGTGGCGTCCGGAATTTGGAAGTGGACATATCCATGATGGTCGTCGAATATCTCGCTGTCCTTGAACCTCTCCTTAATGAAGTTCTTGAGCTCTCTTGAGTCGGTATTGTCAGCTGATAGTCGGACAATCAGAGTGTATCCATTCCCGAATTTGTTCTTCAGATGTTGTGGACTCCCCAGACAGACAAACTGACCGTTAACCATGATGACTAAGCGTGTACACAGGGCGTCACATTCCTCCATACTGCAATGCAAAGAAAATGTAAAAATAAGTGTTCACATAATAGTTTTAGTCATCTTCACGATGCCTAGGCTCTGTGACAAAAGTCGCCATCATTTAAAAGTGGCATTAGCTATTTTTTTAAAATCATTTTTATCTTTTTATTATTTCTTACCCTAGCCCTAACCCTAACCTAGGTTTTGAACTGAAAAACAATCAAAAACAGTTTGTAAACAAAAATGATTTTTTTTTTGTTATTTGTGACTTAATACCTAAAATAAATATCAAAAATTAATCTTTAGAAGATCCTTCACCTCACCAAAGACTATATATCATTTATGTATCTGATCTCACAAAAAAGATCTGATGTACTGTAAGTCACTGGAAAAAGGCAGATTATCGAGTGATATATGTAATATGTGATATAATACACTGAAAAAATATCAAAAGTAGGTGGAAAAGTGATATTCTTGAGCTCAGCGCAGATTTTATCCTCTTACTGAACCTTTCTATGAAAAAGATACTTCATCGTCGGTTTTTTATCAAGAACTTTTTTAGTTAACCTCAAGCATGACATTTAGAAAAAGAAATTCGTCAAGGGTTTGTATAAAAAACCAAATAATAAAAAACTTTTACATTGTGAAAATAGTCTTTTGTAAGCTCAAAATTAAACTGTGTAATATCCTCCCTTAAGTTAACGGTAGTATACAATAATAGGCTATTGAGTCTTACCTATGTGATGTTAAGATTAGAGTTCTTCCACTTTCGCGGACCTGTGAGAGAACATTCCACAATTGGCGCCGTGCTCCAGGATCCATCCCTGTGGTTGGCTCGTCAAGAAATATAAAGGGGGGATCTCCAATCAGGGAGATTGCTGTACTTAGTTTTCTCTTGTTACCACCACTGGATCATACAGTATATTTATAATACATTACCAAGTAAAAAATCAATCAACAACATTTCTTTGAATTTTTAACAATAGTTGCTATATGGATATATTTATATCTATATGTTAATAAATAGTGTGTTTTTAGCCTGGTATGCCAATGGGTAGACATTACATGTCTAAAAGAATAACATACATGCAAGAAAATCACATGTTTTACATCTGTAACCCTTAGAATGTTCTGTGTGTCTGTATTATCCTCCTTCAAGAAATTAATGTTTGTTCTAATAATGTCAAAAATTACTGACAATGTTCTAACCTGTATGACAAAGCACTAACGTGTGAGTCAATTCTCTGACATGTATGTCTTATAATGCTCTTATCTGCACACTAGTATTCTGACAATTATCTACTCCAATGGTCTGATACTACTCGTACCTGTATGTTCCACATTGTCTGTCCGCATACTTCTCCAGCATTAAAACTTTGATCAGTTCCATTACAACACGATCTATATACTGCTCCTGAACTCCCCGCAGGCGTGCAAACATAAAGAGGATCTCTCTTCCGGTCATCTGATCAATCAATGCGTCGAATTGTGGGCAGTACCCGAGATTCTGTTGGACCTGTGAACACAGTAAATGTAAGTATTGCAGTACAGAGAGATTTCACGCAAAAGATAAAAAGATTCCGTAGTTAATTCAATAAGGAGTTCTTTATTACCTCTTTGATATGATTCTTTACGTCGTATTTGTTTAGGTAGGCGTTCCCGCCGGTAACAATTTCATCCCCAGTCATCATCTTAAAGGTGGTCGTTTTTCCTGCACCATTCTGTCCAAGTAAACCAAAGCATTCCTGTCGAGGAATTCCGATGCTGACCCCCTTCACCGCTCGGAAATTCCCGTAGTTTTTCGCAAGGTTCTTCAGCACCAAGGCATCTGTCTCCTGTAGCTTTGATATGTCTGTTGCGTTGATCCTTTTCCGTTCATTCTTGACGTCATCGTCCTCTGTTTCGTCACTTCCCATAGACTCCTCGGAGAACACCTGGGCCGTGTGTTGTTTTCCTCTTAATTTATACATCACCCAGTAGAAGAAGTTAAGTTCTGCTAGTGTGACCAGGAGGAGGTAGACGGCGCCTTGTATGACCATCAGTAGGACGTATTTCCCGATCCCAGGGTAAGTCATGCTGAGGTAGTCAAGGACGAATCTCAGACAGCTGGTACCACACTTATCTAAAAGATACGTCAAAGTCAGTGATGACTTAATAATAAAGTTACGTCATAATCTCAGACAGCGGGTACCACACTTATCTAAAAGACACGTCACAGTCATTGATGACTTAATAATAAAGTTACGTCATAATCTCAGACAGCGGGTACCACACTTATCTAAAAGACACGTCACAGTCATTGATGACTTAATGATAAAGTTACGCCATAATCTCAGACAGCGGGTCCCACACTTATCTAAAAGACACGTCACAGTCGGTGATGACTTAATAATAAAGTTACGTCATAATCTCAGACAGTGGGTCCCACACTTATCTAAAAGATACGTCACAGTCATTGATGACTTAATGATAAAGAAACGTGCAAAATAAAGAAACATAAAATCTTTCCCCGTCTCATCTGTTTGATTTGTAAAATAATTAAATTGTTTTTGTAGATAGCAAGCGGAATATGGGAAGACATATTTATAACACTAAACTAATTATTAAGTTTAATTCAAATATTTCTCTTTGTTTATTCCCCCTTTTTTTAAATTTCAATAAAATTCTTTATTTGTTAACCTCAAAATAAAACAGTTTTCATCAATTTCTATTCAATTTATTTAATAATGTGTTACAGAAGACATTACGTTTCATAAAATTTATATACGTAAAAATTTTCCATTTTGTTTTGTAAAGAAATTTACATCTTAGACAGGCTGTAAAATTTGAGATGGAAAAAAATTGGTGATAAAGTATTGTTCTTTTCATATCTATTAATTTACCACAAAATTAAAACCAATCTAAGTAGCTCACCCATGCAACAACTTCCGGTCTCCAGGGCGGGAATTTGACACGTGAGCTGGTAGTTACTGCTCTCGCACGTGTTTATGTATTGGTAGTTGGTATAAATGTTCATGATGCTGGAACCCAGATTATAGTGCGGGAAAATAAGGGCAAAGATCCAGTCCAACTGAAGAGCAATGTTTTGTGTTCCAAAGGTGGGGAACATCAGTAAAAACACGGCCAGTGTCGTTGCTAGACCTGGAAACACCGAAGTAATGCAGTGCAGATTAAACATGGTGAAAGCTAGTCATATAGCAAGTTACTAGTTCAAAGACGCAATCAATTATATGCAAGTATTTTTGAAGCTACATTTTTGGCAAAGGATAGAGAGTTCTTATTCATTGGAGTTTTGTTGATGTCGCTAATCTTGAATATGCTTTTCGTGTCAATCTTTAATACTTACTCAGATTACTTGTGAGGTTTATTTAATTTTAGCTCACCTGTCAGAATGTTTAACATTGTGATGGTCACCATCCCTGTAGCCGGGGTCTTAAACAGGTAATGGAGGACGTACGTGTAGGGAAGGGAGGCCCAGCCGAATAGAACATACACCAACAGGATCAGGCTGATTCGGGATGGCTCGCCCAGGAAATAAGCGTCAGGCCGGAAGGCCGCGAAGCAGACGACCATCAAAATGGCGGGAATAAGGTAGTTGATATAATCCCATACAAAATTGGCAAGCCAGTAAGTCAGGGAACTCAGACCACTAACCTACGGAGAATTAACTCGTAATTTATATTACTGCAGTTCATTAAAAATATGATATTTGAAGGCGTATATAAAGGTTTTCAGCGAATATGAGTTTTTAAAAGAGTAGTTTTTTGAAAGAGTAATTTCACTTAGGAAATTTGTTTAAGGGTGAGCTATAAAGATTTACCTTTTGTAGATGTTTTGCGCCAGACACGCGCTCCTTGATCAGGAACAAGATGAAACTTGTAGTCAAGAATGAGACACCAAACAGAATGACAAACGCAATGGAGAACCCGCTTCCGGCGGTTCCCGCCGCTCTCTGGCTGTTGTCGTCCAAGCTGCGCTTGAATGGGTGATTGTCTGTCTGTATACCCATCGCACCGGTTCCATAATGTTTGAGACTGGCATCCAGGGTGAAGGCCAGCGCTATGGCGGGGCTGTGGAAGGGATCTCCATTGAAATAAGTGGTTGTGTTAGGATTACTATCGTCTAGACCCACGATGTACCTCTTACTGTACACCGACATACCCAACTGGAGAGAATAATAACAGTGTTCTGATGAAAGCCTAGCATGGCCTGGATTACTGTGTTTAATTTAATTTGTATTTTAGTTTACATATTTTAATTTTACATAAGAAATTGAAAGAGATAAGATGTGTAAATTAGTTATTGAAAATATCAACAATCTTTCCTTAGGACACAATTTGTTAAACTAAACTCGAATGATGTTTTCCTTCGGCATGTTTATTGCATGAACAATACATTTGAATATATTATCTTACTATTAACAAGGTCAGGGAAACTTCAATTACCTCTTTCATTTTGTCTATGACGTATCTATCATATGACGCCGCCGAGGTCGCGTCCTCTGTCGACGTAAACAAGTCCTTGTACTTGGCGGCAATAATGTTGGCAGGGTTGTTGTAGATCGTCACGGGGTTCTCAAAATTGGCCAGATTGAGGGGTAAGGCCGGCTCCTCCGAGAACTCTGTGGCGTTCATCTCGATGACGAGGGCAAGGATCGTGAAGATGACCGGAAGTGCCAGCTGCACAAACGTCACGACTCGATTTCGCCAGGAATGTATAGCTTTTTTGATAATCATACTTTTAAATTGCTGAAATGTAAGTGCCATTCCACCATTCTTCTTTATTTCCTTATTAAACTCTGAATAAACAAATAACTGAACTTTAATTAAACAAATATTTTTTTTTTTATCTAATCTAATCCAATAATCATTATCCTATAAAGATTAATATCTAATAATTCATACAGTCATTCCCATATAATTCATACATTTACCAAGTCCATAGTATTGAAAAACGAATTTAAGAGCAATGATATAATTTTGTGTTTGATTGATAAAGTAAACATCCTTTGTTAATAAAATGAAATTTTACACGTTAATCTTTCTTCGTTTAGTTTTTATGGCTATTCCAACTCACCACATGCAAGAACTCCGTAACGGAGGTTATAACTCAGAAAAAGCAGCTGTAAAGTTTTTAAAGTCTTTGTTCATGTTTTAATTTTTATTGAACTTCGAAGCTTTATCAATATACTACTAAATTATGACAGAAGAAATTCTGAACTGCAAACATAAAAAATATTTACTAAATATGTGTAAATCCAGATAACGGAATTTTTGGACAATAAAATAAACACTATTTTCCAGTAAGAATATTGCCAAGCAAACAGATTATTACATTACTTGCATCACTTGATTTGAAAAATAAAAGGATATATCTTGAAAATTAAAGACCTTATCTAATTATAAATTGACCACTTTTTAAAGAAAAGTTGATATGCAAATTGCTCTAAAATTGTAACGGAGGTTACACAAACTCGTTTTGAAGATTAAGAGATAAAAATACTTTGTAAAACGTGTCAAACACACTTTAAAAAGAATGTTTTTACACAATTAAGAGAAGAACTAAACAGTTTTCCCCTCTTTTTTAGAGCAATTTACCAAAAAGTGTGTTTCGTTAGGGAGGTTATTCTGAATATTTACAAAAAGAGTAAACCGAATTTTAGACTTCCTATTGGCTTTACAAACTTATGTCGCTCAGCATTATTAAGGATCTATCAACTTAATCAAATATTTATTAATATATTATTGTCTTTTTAACTGCAAATGTGAAAGTGAAGATTTAAACTTCTATAACCTCCGTTACAAAATATACAGCCTTCGTTTCGAACAATCGGTCTGAATGCGTTAAACCTAATTGTGAATTTAAATAAAAAACAGTTAGAAAACAATATTTATTTGTAAAAAAAGGATAAAAAATATTTGTATTAACGTTTTTTAGGCAAATACATTTAAATTAAAAAAAAAAAACAACAAATAATTGTAACCTCCGTTACGAAATACCTTACTGAAACTTGTAATAATGAAGTGATTTATTGAATCATTGTGAAGTGACTGTCACACATCAACATAATTTTTCATGAAAACTTATTCAATATATCATAATATATGAAAAATTCACTTAAAAACACAAAAATCCATTTTTTGCAGAAAAACCCAACCTCCGTAACATCGCTGGTTTTACGTATAAACGAGTATAATTTTCCTGTACACCGCTGATAGTTCACATAAGGGTGACCTTTTTGTGCCCATACACATTACGGAATATTAGACATTTGCAAAACGAAAAAAAAACACTATCATTTTTTATTTGTAATATGCAAAAAACATCTAAATTAAGGCCATTTTTACCATAATATTTTCAAAAATACCTTTATTTTATGCTTTAAACGCATTATGATTTTTATATTCCAATTTGTTGTCAACTTAAAGAGTAAACTTCCAGCATTATCTGGTAGATTTAAACACCTGAAATGATGCACACGTCAGATTTTGTTGAATTTCCGTTACGGAGGTTAGAGGTTACGGAGGTTAGAACCATTAATAATTTCTTTATTTCTGAATTGTTGTTTAACTTTCCTTACATTTGTTTTTTGTTTACTAGACATACCCACTGGTGTCAATCAACTGCATTGAAATAGTACTTCACATAGCCTCTGTTTCTTCACAATCACCGTCACGTAGGTTAGGTTCTTATATGCGACATTATAAAAAATCCATATTTTTAAAAATTTTGAACACGGTTTTATTGATTTGCCTAAAAAAAGATTCTGTGCTAACGTTTTAACATATATTAGACACAAAAACACAGTTTCAGCTGTACTAACGATATATTGTATTATCTTAAAAAATATTCAAACAATGTTACGGTAGGTTAGGTGAAATTTGGCGACAGCGATGATCAAAGGTTTGTTTAAAAATCGTTATTCGTTTATCAATGAAAGTTTCATTTATTTGATTTTGACATGTTTCTTCATTAATTAAAACAATTTTTGTTTGTTTAGAACAAAATGCGACCAGGTAATGCACATTCAGACTGCAAAATATACTATGGCGACATCGCCTTTTACACAATTCCGGGCTTCCTTTTGTGTAAATACTCGGAGAAAAAATATCAAAAAATATACCAGCTAATGTTTTTTTGTGTGACAAAATATGTTAACATAAAGGGTCAAGGAATAATTTGAATATCAGTAACCATAGCTTTGAAATGTATTGGCGACATAGCGTTTTTTCATTTGTATGAATTATACGGGAATGACTGCATAGTCTGATCCTCTGTGGGCCAAGGCATTCTCAAACAAGGGAGCCACTAAAAATACTATCCTAAATTTAGTCTATTTTGCATTACAACATGTCTTTGCATTTTCATCATCATGAATAAGAATATTAGGTAAGATTTTTGGCGTCTCCAATTCCTTGGTCACAATGTGATACGTAAGAGATTTTTGTTTATAATTAAATCAATACAGTCATGTGTCCCAGCTCCATTTCATAATAAATATTAAATATTATGCCATTATAGCAAGAAGTTTTTATCAGCCCAAAAAGAAAGGAAGGATATGGAGATAACGAACATTACTCAATATCAAACTCCATAAAACAATACAAAATAGGAGCAGAGCCACACGGATGAATACATATTTTTTTTTATTGCAAGCTCAATGAAATCAAGTTCAAGAATCCAACACTTACAGTGAAGTCAAAGATTCAATCGTCTGTAAAATGTTAAATTATTAAATAAATCTCCCAACTTGCAGAAAGCAGAGCTTTTGTAAAGATTTATAGAAAGCTATTCTAATTTGGGTCTAGCTGCCTGTTTTCTTTAACATATTTTAAAATACAACATCAAAAATTTGACTAAAGATTGAGCTGTTTTGATATCCTGGGACAAGCCAGGTATTTTGTGAATGTTCCATCATGGGATGCTTTTTACAGACCAGCCTTTGTACTTCCTGGGTCAAGGACGAGATGAACATATTAAGGTACCTGTGTACTTGGATAAGCTGACGTCACCGTTCGTCTTCGCCTCCCCATTCACCTCTTTCACTTCCCCATTCATCTCCCCATTGACCGTAACTCTGACGTCAGTCATGGGAATTTTGTCGCCCTCTTCATGTACAAAGGCTAGGTTGTGTTGAGATTGCTGAATCGTGTGCGCCTGCGCATTCAGTCTTTCCGCCTCTTCTTCGACGTCCTCTTGACCACTTTCTCCGACTCTTATGAAGAGAAACAATGTCATAAATAAGCTACATTCTGCGAACTGTGCTAATTTTCTTTGTTGGCTTTACAAATTCTTTTTTGTACTTAATTAATATTAACCTAGATTGCAATGTTTAATAAGACGAAAAGTCGTGCATCAATATTTTAGCAACTTTTTTAA